TCACGTTCAAGAGGCTTATCGGGCGAAATTGTCGGATGGTGCTAGGGTTCTCAACCTTCGGAATTAAAACCANCAGGGTCTGATTGACTTGTGGCGGGACAGTCCCACTCCGCCACATCTCCCGAATGAATCGTTGGACTTGGGCCGACCGTTTCCCAATTTTGCTGGAAAAAGAGAGATGACCTTTAATTTCATTATGTATGTTTTTTTTCAAAAAAAAAAAAATAAAAATAAAAATAAAAAATTATAGGACTACAATTGAATAATTTAATAATGTTCAATGAACTAATTTGATACACCTCAACCTTACATATTACTTTTGATAAAACATTTTAAATATTGAGACTAGGGTTGAGGTTTTATACTCAAAGACCGTGAAATCAAGTCGTATTCATTCTGCCTATTCGACAAAATTACGATTCGATTCTTTTGGATGCTATTGCGATTGGCCACAATATCTAACCTACTTTGACTGACTGAATAATAATTATGCACATTTTAAACTTAAAATTTAACTCAAGTTTATTTAACTTAACTATCTTTCGATATTATCAATCTAATTAAATAATATGAATCATTATTACACATCACTTCAACTTTAATTCATTATTAATTATTCGCACATATTTAAGTGTCTATCACTTCAAATAACTTTTTTTCATATTTTACATCACATCAACCTTAATCATTACAATTTAATATTATTTTAACTAAAAACTAAAAATTACAACCATTTTAAGCTAGGGTTGAGCGTGGATTTGGAGGGTTCGAAAATCCACAAATCTTTGGAGTCGTCCCGAGATTCAAAGATCTCCAAATTAAATCTCCAGAACCGAATCGTTTTGAAGAAATCTCCATCCGAGCTGATCCGATTTTCAATTTGGTTTGAAAATTCGGGTCAGCCGGGACGGTTCGGTACGAGCTAGATATTTCAGAGATTTTTTTCTTGTAAAGTTAAACACCTTGCCAGACAATTATTATGCTATTGTCATTTATTTTGTTAAATTTATTTGAATGTTAAAATAGCTACATATAACGAAAATATATGATAATATTATATATCACCCCTATATATAATTCCCGAATGCGCTGAGCCTACGTGGCTGCTTCTGGTGCTTCGGAATCCTACTTGGCGAATAATCATGCTTTGTAATTAGGTTTGGACAAATAATATTGATATATTAATAATTAATAATCTAGGTTCGGACATTCTATAAATATTATTTAACTAACTTAGGTATTTTGATATCACTTGTACTAATATAACCCTTTAATTTTTTGTAATTATACATAGTGAGACACTAAGTAACTAGTATAACCCTGACTTTTGATTTGTTTCCTTCAATTAGCTACAGAATTATAAATTTATTTTAAAAGTTGATAACTTTTTTATTTCTTATCGGTTTTACATATATAATATATCAAATTAATCATCTTTTGATGATCTTCGATTTGACATTCATATTGTATATATGAAATAAATAAATTATATTTATCTTTATAATCATAAAAAATAATAATATTTATTAAAATTTATAAAAAAATAAAATTATTTCTCAATTGATATATTTATGCTTAATGCAGTTATATTTATAAGTTAAAAAAGTTATTATAATATAACACGAAATATATAATAATATATATATTTTTGTAAAAGGTATTTAAATTTTCAATTACTTTTTCTTATTATTTTAGATTTTAAGAAAAAAAAAATTAGCAAACACCCGTGTAATACACGAGCGTTGTACTAGTTTTTTTAATAAAGAGAAATATATTATTAAATATGAGATCTCCATAAAGCTTTAACAATATTATTGGCATACATTGGCATACATTGTTGAATTTGTGCAGATGCTAAATTTATTATGTAGAAAAGAAATCATAAGACAATATAATGACCTAGGGGGTACTATGCAAGAACTCATCGGGATACGCCACCCCGAAAAGATCATGATCAAGCCAGGCGCCCATGCTTAGGGGAGGTGAGGAGACGTTGTGCATCGAGGAAGTTGACTAGTTCCACGACCATTATCGTCTCGGGCCTAATAGGGTTGAGCTGATAATGTGTGGTGGCCCATATAAATGGGCTTAACTTATCTCTAGTTATCTTTGCGGACTAGACAAACAGAACAGTTGTAGCGAAAATGAGATCTTTGCGGACCAACAGAAATGTTTGGGCCGATGATCCAAACAAGACCCGAAAAGCAAAAGTTTTAATTTGAGTATTTTTTAAGTTTCATTTGCTAGTGATCGAATA